TGTTTTCGAATAGGATAGTGGCATGTGTTCGCTAACACCTTAGTTAAGACGTAAATATTATGAAAATTATTGATTCTTAGAGTTTCTAGTTTGTTCATAGAGAATTACTTAAGTAAATGCTTGAAATTGACTCGTTTTGACGTGTACAAGATGTGAATTCACTAATTGACAGTTACCCTAGTTTTTTGCAGGGAAGATAGAACATGGTGTACAGAGAAAAAAATCTATTTTCTCTATCAGGTAATCTAAAAATAGCCATGGGCTGCCATGTTCTAGTGCTAAATTCACAGTGGTCAAGGATCACTTATATAGCAACTGTAAATTATAATATCATAGTAATTTTCTGGAGGCATGCCCTCAGACCCCCTTAGATTGAGCTGCCCTTGGCAGTACGTTAGTTGCTTTTAACAGCTTATTATACTTGTACTCTCTCATTGTAAAACCTGCATATCTAGCAACTACTTTGCAACTCCTTCTTACACCACAGGATCATGTGTGCGAGGTACAATTATGTGAAAATCTGGCTTTATTAGTGCTTGTATAAATTGTATTTAAAGTCGGTTTTGTATCTTTAAGGTAGACTTTTTTACGCAATTAGAAAGATTCTCAAGTTTTTCTTTCTTTTCAAGAGTATGAATAGCTAGTAGTGTTCCTTAAAATAACTTTGTATAGCAGCTTTCACTTTTAATTATAACGTTTGTAACAATGTACATGTATTTTAAGTAGTCAAATCTTTGATGATGAAAAAATAAAAATTATCTTTTTATGTAATTCAGTTTTTACCAATTCTTTAGACTGATAGTGGAACTCTAAACATCATCCTATCTAAAAAATGCTCAAATTTACTTAAAGGAAAAACATACAATTAAAAGTTATCAAATATGAGCTCTACGATTACATTTAAAATATTTCCATGATTATACAAGCCTGCGAATTTAAACTTCATAAAACATGTTTTTGTTTTAATATCGAGTTTTCTACAATTCAGCTACGCAGATTTCGAAAATAATATTAACTTTCTCACGTAAGGATTCTTTACAAATAGGGAAGAAAAAACTCTTACTTAGATCAAATTATTATTTCGTTTAACACAATAAACATTTTTTTACAAAAATACAAACAGACTGAAGAAAAGGAAAGAACAGTGATGTCAAACGAATATGTATCCTCATTCATCCTGATTTTTTGTGAAATCTACGTCTCAAAACTAAGTGTTGCGGTCTTTCTTTTATGTGTTGCATCTGGAGCATCTCGTTTCAATGACCAGCAGCAATCAGCCATCAAGCTGATGTTCCACCTGTTACGACAGCGGAAGTTACGTGACGCTGCTGGCGCATGCATGACTGAATTTCTCGAATTATCGAGGAACCCCGCGAAATTTGGAGAAGCCTCTTTGTTAGTATGTAAGCCTGGTGAGAAAAGCCAGCGGGAGTGAATGTATGAAAAAGCGAACAGTAGTCACGGTGAGTTTCGGGTAATTTACGATTCTGTTTGGCACTCGTAGAGAGTTAAGTTATCGAGATTGTGAATCTCTGTGATTTATAGCGTGTATTATAAAAGTTGTTAAGTTTAAAGTGACGAGAGGCGTCCTGACTGTGAAACTACTGTGTACTAAAGTTTGTATCGAGGAAGAATGAACTGGTTTAATCAAGAAAGGACTTATATCACTGAAGATCCTCGGAAAGAATTTCTACCGGAAACAAACAAATAAGCAGATACGTAACACACCTTTCCTGATACCTCCTCTTAATTTCCCTGATGTCTTAACGAAATCTTTTCCTTCGCTGACGGGACAGAGATTTTGAGAGAAATAGTCAATATGTGAGTGTAAGAAATGAACTTTCAAGCTCATATTACAACCCAACACTTTGAATTTATCGAGCATATTATTGACAATATTTTCGTAATTTTGGTCCTTGTTATTTCCTACAAATTTGTCAATAACACCTATAAAGGCAATCCACGCTTTTTTTTCAACTTTCCTCATTGTCCTTTCGAACTGTTCATCCGAAGTCAATCTGAGGCCCAACAAAAATCTTTTCTTTAAGTTTCGCTTCTGAAAGAGCTAGGAATTGCCCACATGAATACTTGAAACAGTCGTCATTTTTGTCTAAGGCCTATAAAACTACTTCATCAAGCCCAGTTTTATGTTTATTGGGGGTAATAGGACTTTTTTTTGTGTCAACCAAACTTTCATGTTCAATGTTTTTCGATCCTGGAATCAGGCTCACACTGCATGGCCATTGCTTCTTTATCCAATGCTGATTTCGTGCTCTGTTGTTCCATGCACACAAAAAACGTGAAAACTTTGATAA